TATGATTTCATATATTTATGGAATTTGCTAATTAATTAACGAATTAATTTCTAAAACTCGTTTTTTTTTTTGCATCGAAAATATTTTCAACAATTCGCCATCGATCATCATTTGTCGCCTTCAACAACGTTGTAACATTTCCCTTCAACAAGACCATTCATTTAATCATTCATTATATTCGATTTTATCACTAATAATCCGACGATTAATCGAATTTTGCTGTTAAATACTGATACTGATTCGCACTAAAAAATCGTATAAGTTGTTAACAAAAAATCTAATATTTTAGATTTTAAATGTTATATTTACATTTTAAATGAAGGAAACCTTTGGTGAAAATCTATAATTTATAATTTATATATTTGATAAAAACAAGTGATTAGTGATTAATGAATAAATGTCAAATGTCAACGTCATTTCTCTATTATTCGAAAACATAAGATCATCGTTTTCGATTTAGAAAATGGAAAAATTAGAAGAATGTATTTGTCCCGACGAATAATGAAAAATTATTTAACGATCGACATATTAACCAACAGCGACTAAAAAAATATTCCAGTTTTCATTACGATGACTGATATAATATTAATAATTTCTATGAATTTCTATAAATTTTGGAAATAAAATCAGCGAAGATCGCTTAATCTGGTAATAATACGTAATAATAATAATAATAGTCTAAGTCTCATTAGTCGTCTCTTCAAGAAAATATGCGAAAATGATTAAAAATTATAAAATATTAAATAAATAGAAAACTTTTCATAAATACTTTATTTTTTGAGAAAAGTTGGAAATCTTCTAATTGATTTTCTTTTTTTTTTGTTAAAAAATTGATCAAATTGTTAAAAAAGAAAATTTTGTTGTCAAAATAAATTTCGCTGCAAAAGATTTCTAAAAAATATTTTTATTTTCTAAAAAAATTCATGTGAAAAGAAAAAAACTAGTTTATTGAATGGCTGATATTTATACTGATCATTACTTTATTTATTTAAAATTTTTTGGCTTTTAAAAATTTCTTCAGTAGAAATTCTCCAGAAAAAAAATATCAAAACAAATTTACAAATTTAAAATATATTTTACATATTTATATATTATATAACTTTATATATTTAAATATATTTTTTAGAAATATTGACTAAAAATCAAATCTATTCATAATAAATTAAACAAAATTCTCAAATTATTACAAAAATTGTTGATCATTAAAAATTTTGTTAAGAAACTTATCGAAATTTCTTAAAACCAAGAATCGAAGATTATATGCAAGTAAATCTTTTCTTCTGTATCATTTATTTGCCAAATTTACTAAAATTAATTTCATATATATATTATTTAAAAACTGCGACATATTTCTAATAAACCATTTGTATAAAAAAGCAAAACGAATAATTTAACGTTTCATAATCGAAATACTAGTTTTGCGAAATTCTTTTAATTCCAATAATCCGGTTAAAGAAGAACAAATTTCTGCCGATTTTACTATAAAAACTTTTTATAAATAATAATCGTTTATATAATCACCAATAACTCTATTTTTCTTACAATATTTAAATTATAAAACCATTAAAAATAAAACATTCTTAAAAAGATAGGTAATATAAATATTATTTTAAATAGTAACAATAATAATAATTATATAATAATAATAATAACAACAATAATAATAATAACAACAATAATAATTAATAATAATAATAATGGGGGAAAAACAAATTAAAATTAATTATTTAATAAGTAAAAAAAAATAAGAAATAGAAATAACAAAATAGTTCGCTGTTCAGTGGAAATTCAAAAGTCTAACAATTGGTTGCTTATTTTTATAAATTTTAATATTTTATAAAATAAATAATAGATAATAGGTTAAATATAAGAAACAAAATAGCTTTAAAAAATAAAATCAATTAAAATAAAAAAAAACCTGCAAATATATTCAATGCTTATCGCTTTTGGTTAAGTCGAGCAGAAAAATCTTACTAAATAGTCCATGTGACAATACCGATAAATTGCCAAGACATAGATTTATTTCTGCAGGAAATAGAACCATCATACAGGGAGCACCGAAAGAAATAACCCACATATATTCCACTTTCAAGAACTACAATTAACTATGGCCATCACCAAATTACACCAGCATTCACCAAACAACACCAACAATCACCAAATAACACCAAAATTTACCAAATATGTTAATTAGTAAGAAAAACCTACCGAGATCCACAAAAAAAATCCTCGACGTATAACGATCGATGCTAATCACGACCGACATTTAGTTTGGCGGGAAATTTTTATCTTCGATTTCTCGGCTGCGGTCCCTCAAAAAATTCTTTTTTGCGCAATACATAACGAATTCTTTAGAGGAATAGAGAAATAGGGCTGCTGAATTTTTAAAAAGGGTGCACTTTATTGATTTGCACTATATCGATTGCACTTGTTGTTTTGCACTGGTTTGTGCGAGTAATTTAAGTAAATTTCTTGTTACGCGTGCATATATGTTTAGTATTTAATATGAGTGCGCATAAAATTATTCTAATTTTTATATTTTTCTCGAAGATTTTCAATTTTTAATTAGTTGTTTTTTTTTATTTTTTTATTTCTTATTTTTATTTATTATTAGAAATAAATCTATTTGATTTCAAAATAATATAAATATTTTTAATTTTTATTTTTTATTTTTTTTTATTTTTTTACTAAAATCACATATTTCCAATTGCGTTTGCACTTATTTGATAAGTGCAAAGTTTCATGTGCAAAAATTTTATTTAAGCATAAAAACGCTATATTTTTGAGCAATATGCATAAATAAATATTTATAAATAGATTTAAATTATATAATATTAAATATTTTGTAAAATTGTATCGCTCTCGTGCGTCGGATCTTTGTCACCTAGCGATAGAATTATAAGTGTGCAGCTTGATTAGCATAGCCACGGATTACTGAATGTCAGCTTTATTGCTGCCCTAGGCTACTACCTTAATATTGGTTCAACGAACTAGCAATAAGCCACTAAGCTATCCCACCTCGCTAATTTATTTATAAGGTTCATATTTATGGTACTTAATGGCGAAAGATGGTTTTCTATTTTTGTATTCTAAAATGAACTTGATTCTGAGGCTTCAAAGGATTCTTCTAGGTGCAATACTTTTATTGAAATTTACGAAAAACTTCCTCAAAGTATGTTCATTCACTCTCGCATTCCGACACGCATTCTAATCTTAACCTGGTAGCACTTGCGATAAATATACGATTCCCGCAGCGGTAAGAGTTTTTGGATATCCACACTTTGTTTCTATATAATCTGTGGATATCGCTTGCTGTTGGAAGTTAGCCTTCCTATTTCTGAGTTAGCGCTTTATTCTTACCGTTTCGAGATTTGTATATTTACCGCAAATATCCCAGGCTAAAGATATGAGTTTCGGAATATAGAAATGAACATCTTTTGAAAAGGTTTTTCATAAAGATATATTGAGTTAAGATGTGATTTCGACTTTCAGGCTTTAACCTCGTTTTCCACACTCTGTTTCTGCATTAATCTTCATTATGGGCCTATTATAGGTAATAAAAGGTAGAGTTATTTATATGTTATAAGATGGAGGATGACTTAGCATTACACTAGAGAGCCATAGCATAGTCTCGTGTGATAAATTTAGCATTATCAGGTGTTATTCATTGTATTATTATGTTACCTTTTTCGAATCTGTCGACCAAAATGCGCAGTTTGGTGGTTAAAGCGTGGATTAGGGGGATTAAGTGGATTTATGCAATAATTTCCGGAAAATTGTTATGATAAAGTTTCCTAGCAGCAGCCATTATGCGTTTTTTCCAAATTTTTGCGGAAATCTTTCTGTATTCTTGTAGGATCTTTGCGTAAGAAATTCTCACTTAAAGGCGAAAACTTCTTATCGCTTTCCTAAATTTTATTTTTAATGGTTTATTCCCATTAGGAATTTCCTTTTGCATCATTTCATCTAATTTGATTTTCAGCTGATTAAGTGGAATTTCGTTATCATAACTTTCTATTTGGTGATATTTTTTTCTGTTTGCATTGGAAATGGGTAAAGAAATTTCCAATAACAATTCGATAGGGAATATTAATGAAGAGGATGACAAGGACGACAACTCTGGTGTTCTTATCATTTCAGAAGAAAATGATGAAATAATTGCAATAAAGGTTTTTTATAGCATTAATGAAAAAATTATTGAAAATTATTTTAAAAAATTTTCGAAAAAAATGAAAGAAATTTATAAGAATAATTTAATTAAATTAAAATTATTCATCAAATAATTGGGCAGATTTCTTTATTACTTAAGATGATAAATATATATATATATATATATTTGAAGTATATAGAAGAAATCGAACGTTAGTTCTTTAGAGCGATTGTGACGAAAAAGTGGAAACAATGGCAGAACTCGAGATGAAACAGCAGCAAGATAATCTTCAAGTAGTTCCTTTTTACCAGTCTCTTTCCATTTCATTATTTAAATTTTCGTTTATGATTGGTATCATAGCTATATTTTTCCGTTTTTCGATCAGATATTTTTGTTTCTATTTTTTCATTTGGTAGTGATGACGGATTATTTGCATAGATAGTCTGGTATAAGCTATAGTATAATACATATGATCGAATTTTTTTAAAAAATTTATTGGTGCTCTTTATTTATTATTGGTCAATGAAAACATTAATTCGAAGGGAAAAATAATTTTCTGGATAACTGAATTCAAATAAAAGAAAATTCTTTTGCATTATATCGATTTTATTTAATGCAATTATTTTTATTTTTTAGAAAAATAAAACAACACAGTTTTCGTGGGCAAAATATTTGGATGAAGTGAATCTGCCTGCAGCTCCTGCTCATTATTTTTTCCAGAGCCCTTTTCCACCTGTAAATAAATTCACTCTTCATAAAAAAGTCGAAGTTACAGATCCTCGAGGTTTTTCTTATTAATTATCATTATTTTTGGAATATAATATTTTTTTTTTCTTCCAAATCTAAACCTATGCTATTCTTGAAATTTTCTATTTTCGGTGTAAAAGACGATTCTATTTGTTTGGCAACAATTGTTGGCGTTCATTCAGTTTGGATTTGCTTGCGGCTCGACGGTGAAGATGGCAGCAATGATTTTTGGCGATTATGTGATGATATTTCAGTGAGACCTGTTGGGTTTGTGTTTAATTTTTTTTATAAAGAATATCCATTCATAAAATTTCCAAAAATCCTTTCTGATGCGATTTGTTTAGTCGTTAAGTTGATATATAAGCCATATATCCAAATAAGCCATTTTATTTCTGGCGCAAATTTTTATCAAATAAATTTTATATTTTGCAGCAGAAAATAGAAAAGTGATAGAATGTTTAAGTTTCTGCTTTCATTTTGGAGCACCAGTGCTTTGGTTCTATTCTACTCTCCTAGGATTATAAAAGTACCTACCTTTCAAGAATCTCGAGAAATCTAGGTTATGGTGGCAAGTCACCTGAATTCCTTTTGCCAAAGCAAAATTTATCTGATTCGAAAAGGTAGCTAACTTAAAGGTAACCAGAAAAGATGAGCGTTGCCAAAAAAATAGAATAAATATACAATCGAAAGATCGTTATCTCAATTTTTATTGGTTTTTTTATACCAGATATTGCGCTGAACACAACATCATGTTGCAACCACCACTTGGATTTGTGTATAATCTCGGTGGTTTCCACAGGTTCATTGAAGGACAATTGAGATTCATTGGTGATGAAAATCCTGCTGCTTCGCTCGAATGCTTTAATCCGGTTAATATTCCATTTTATTTTGCTAATTTCTTTCTAATTCTTGCTAATTTATTTCTATTTTTTTAACATTTATTCATTAAACTTTAAGATATCGCCAATTTATCGTCCTCAAAGCAATAAATTCCAAGTTGGTATGAAATGCGAAGCAATTGATCATCGAAATTTTAACGGCAGACCTTGTCCTGCCACCATTGTGGAAGTTAACGGTGATTTTATTACTGTTAATTATGACGGATGGAATTCATCCTATGATTCAAAGGAACGATTTGATAGCAGGCATATTTTCCCCGTTGGTTGGGCTGAAAAATGTGGTATCCCATTACAACCACCTAAACAAATACATGGTTCGTTCCTTCACTATTTGTTTTTTTAGATTACACATTACACAAAAATAGATTTTAGATTTGTGGAAAATTCGCCTATTTTTAAGTATTTTTATTTTTATAACGAAAATTCTTTAAATATTAATTTGATTTTATTGAATGCTGTTTTATAAATTTTGAATAATTTTAAGGCAAAATTGCGCCTCCTATTTTTCGAACAGATTTACCGAAAACTTCAAAGAATCGGAGAAAAATTTCGAAAAAAAAATTTATCAAAAGTATTATTTATTTTTTATTCAAAAATTTTATACCATTCAATTCAGTGAATTTGGTGTTGTATTCTAGAAGCAAGAAATACGAAAAAAAATTACTATACAGTAAGATCGTCAATACATAAATCATCAGTAAAGAAGAATTCTAAATCCAAACCTAGAGGGTCGGAAATACGAAATAGTTCTTCAAGCGATAGAACATCAGCTTATAAGGACGAAACTTCATCACATAAATCCTCAAGTTCACTTTCTTCTAAAAAGGTCTGATTCATAGTTTTTAGTAAACTTGAATCTTTAATGTTGGAGAGATAAGTAAATTTTTCGAAAATCTTAAATCTTTTTTATAAATAATTGAATTTATTGTATATTTTGCATGTTTTTGGATGTTTTAGTTCCTTTATTTTAGCTGAAAAAGGAAAGAAACACTGATGAGGGATTATCAACGCAAAGTGCAAGCCAGTCAGCTATTTCTACATTAACTATAAAAAAGATGGTCAGAATGAGGAAAACTTTTCATTCCATCTCAGGTTATTCGCCTTATAACCATGGATCATTTGATGGTATAAAATGGATGTTTAAGGACAAATTGGTAAAAGTGGAGATTGCGAACATGAAGAGCACAAGAATTTTAAAATTAATCACCTTCTGGTTTTCAGTTGATAGTTGGTGAAAATGAGGCACTGAGTCCTTTTGCTTTGCAATGCGCATATTATAATACATTTGTAATGATACGATAATTCCCCATTACCCTAAATATTATACCAAAGATAAGTTATTCTACACAAAAATAAGTAAAATAAATGAAAATTGTTTAATATCAATTTTAATGTAGATCTTAGCTTGAAGTCAGAATTTCCTGACGCAGGAGTAAACCTGTACAAAAGTCCGAGTTAAATTAATCAGATGAAAACATTTTATCCAAATATAGATCAAATCAATTGTTTTTTATGATCCAAATCTGATTTTTATACCTTCAGAAAAAAATTATTAGCATCGAAGTTCTACAAAAAATTATCGACACATTTAAAACTATTATATAATATAAAATACAAAATTTGGGGCTATAATGGCTCAGTGGGTTGTTTCTCAACTGGTAAGCGCTGATGCTGAGGTTCGATTCCTTGCAGGAGTAAACCTGTACAAAAGTCCGAGTGATGTTGGCGACTCACCCGTATTTCTATTGCCTAGGGACTCCCTGGTATATTGCCCAATTGCGCGCCAGTGGAGCGAGTTTAACCAGTAATGTTGAGGATTCTTTAAAATATATATATGAAAAGTAAAGTAATTGAATAGAGAGTGAATGAAAATTGCTTAATTTATTTTTAAAATTTAGAGAAATAATTATTAAATTTTAGAATTGCTCATCATTTTTCGCCTATAATTTTCTTATAAACTACATTAATCACTAAGATGATTCTTATGGGCACTTTTTTTGCTAAAGAAAAATATTTTCAATACAATATAAGCTATAATTATCTGAAATGCACATTCATCTTACCAGAATTTTTCATAAATCAGTGCTGCATTTTTTCCAAAAATTCGAATGTTCTGATACGTAACTAATTTACCTAATATAGCAATAATTTTCTCTAATAATTTACTAACTTTTAAATTCATTAAATTTTCGGCTAAAATTTATAGGATATCATTTAATATGATAGCGGTTATCGTTTAATTGATAAATGAAAAAAATTATTTAAAAGTAACGCGTTAAAAAGGAAATATAATTACAATAATGAATATTACAATTAATAATTATGGCGATCATTTCAGAAAAGCCTTTGAATTCACAAGAAAAACAAGAATTTGGCGTATTGGGTAATTTTTCTGTTTATTGTTTTTGCTTGAGTAATTAATTTTTAAGATAAAATGAAAGCAATATATTCACATTAAAAGAATTTTCTCAAAATTTTTTTTTCTGTTTATTGAAAATTTTGAACAAAAAATTTATGATTAATAAAGAGGTATAGCCTTTTTTATATGAAAATAAATGGAACAAATAATTTATAAATATTAATTTAACAAAATTATAGAAATAATCAAAAGAATTATTTAGTTCCTCGTGCTAAAAAAACTGTACCATTAACACAACAATTGAATTATCAGCGAAAACCGAAACGTGAGATTATAAAACGTAGAGAAAAGGAACTACTTCATGAGGTAATATTTTGTATTTTGTCATTTTTGATAAAAAAATATAAAAAATTATGTATTATTAGATGATAATTTCAGTTAAACGTTGTACCCACGAGTCATAATGTTTTGTCTTTAACTGAAGATGAAGAAGTGCAAAATCATGAAAAAGAATGGAGTATGTTGAGTCCAATTTTTTTTTCCAATATTCTCATTTATTTTATAATAATTTTATATTTATATTATTTTTATATAAAAATTTTAAAAAATTGTTTAAAAAATTTTTAATTTCAGTTGAAAGATTGAAATACGATCTGCTCTATTGTAATGTTTTATTTTTAAATTGTTAATATATGTAGTCTTGAAATTTCAATAGATTTTGTCGAGCTTAAAGTGTTATTTTAGTGACCATATTTATCAATCATTCATGCCAATGTCCTGGCACGTTTGATTTAGTGAAAATTTCAAATTTGCCTCATCAGTTTGGACCAGGTAGTACGCATCAAATACTTAAAGAAACAATTCTTGAGTTGCTTAGTTGCAGTAAAAATCGAGCAAGTTTAATGAAAATATTGGAATCTTGCTCAGTTTCGTTCACCACTGGTGCAGGTATCTATTTTATTATTTTCTTCTATATTTACGCTGAATTTTTTTGGAGATAAACTTTTTGATATTCCACAGTATATGAAAAAATTATTTAGCCGAAGTATCTCCGACTTTGAATATTCCATTTGTTAAAAATACGGCGGACGCATGGGATTTTCTTGAAAGATTCCTCCATCAAGCAGGGTTTTGTCCCAATTTTCTCGCAAGAGAAATTATGGAATGTACAAGCTGTCATGAAATATGCAAGACGTCAGGGAACACCACAGGTAATCATACATTTAATTTGCATATATATAATTTATATATATATAATTTATTTTATGATATTAAATTACAATATATACTGTTTTATACCAAAAGGTCACTTTTTCATCCAAGTAAAAATAGATGCATTCATTGAAGTTAATTTCAGATGGTTTTGAATATATGAACGATGAAGTGGATCCGGTTGAAGTTGCTGCTAATGCACCTTTATATACATGGTCAGCTGAACGTGTGGCCCAAGAAATCGAACAAAAGTTTAGCCGTGAACTTGCAAATAAATTTCTGCATAATGTGAGGAATTTTGAAAGTATAATTTGCATAACTTAATTTATAGTTTCGTATTTGCATAATTCAATTTATAGTATAGTAATTTATAGTTTAATATATAGTTTCAACTTTATCAGTTTTAGCAAATGGATGGTCGAGCGATATTGTTAATCACTACCGAACTGATGATTCGATACATGGATATTCCTCTGGGACCCGCATTGAAATTGACTCAGTTATTTGAAAATCTGAAACAGCGTAGCATGTAGTTTTTTGTGCACAATTTTTGGGATTTTTTCTTTAATTTATATCCAATTATTTATGTAGTTTTCTGCGATTTTTTGTGATTTAACCAGTGCGCAAGTGATAAAATTATTAGCAGTAAAAATGAGATTTTTATTTAATTATAAATCGTAGTTTTTCATTTTATTGTTTAATAAATTGATGCATTTTGCTAATTTATATTTATATTAAGCTATGGGTGAACTAATTACCTCAAGATAGCGATTTTTTCACTATTTGTAAATTTATGAACGATTAAATTTTAAAAAAAATTCATGGAACAATTATCTAACATATCCGATTTTCTAACAGTCTTCGCTGCCTATAAATAAAAATTTCTTTTCTTTTTTCTTTTATCAACTTGAAAATTGTTGATAATTTTTATTGTAGATATATTATGCATATAGTTTTTTATTTTTCTTTATTTTCATGATTGTTTCATTTTTTTCATTTTGAATTTTAAATTAAATTTAAAATAAATTATGGCTTGGTCTGCTCAATTATAAATGTGCGTATTATTAAAATATACAATTTTGTAATCACTTGGAATGTAACGTCCAAATTCATTTCGAAAAATCGTTTTTTATTAATTTTAATTGTTTTTATATAAAGAATTGTAAATAAAGCATGAAAAGCATGAAATAAATGCTTTATAATGATTATATTATTTCGAAAAATATTAAGATTATAAGTTAACGGTGTGGAGAAAATGGCTCAATGAATAGTCGCATTTTTGGTTGAAAGGCACAGGTGCATCAGATCTTTGAACTGTGAACAGAGTCCAAGTATCGGCGTTCCCAAATAAGAGCAATAACACTGAGCCAATTTTGCCTTCAATTATTCGCTGGGCTATAATTTTTTTCTATTAGCTAAGTCCTGTGATAAGACTTGCGATCCAATGCAATTCGTGAGATTAATTATAGCCACTTTTTTTGATCCGAGCAATGAATATATGCATTTTACTTAGTGCTTATAAGTAATACTGCAAATTAGAACTGAGAATAAGTAGTAATATCTATTTTTATTTATTTTTATAAATTCTTTTGTCGTAAAAATAAGAAATTTAAATAAAAAAATTTTTTTTTGCGAATTTCACATTTTAAAACCACTGAGAAAATTCTGCTAAAATTCTACTAAAATTAATTTATTCAAAAGCAAATAGAATTAGCGATTTATAAAGGATTTTTTTTATCAGATATTTTTACACAATTTTTTTATTTTTACTT